AGCTATCAAGGACTACACGTCTCAGGTCGGTTATGCACTACACTCAGGAGCACAGTCACTCAAAGCGGACCTCACCTCGACCTGGCAACGAAGGGCATCTTCCCTTGAGCTTCAGCCACTGGGTCCCAAATGGATATTTTTCTTTATCCAACTCATCTCATCTGTCTTGGAAACTAAGGTAGGAGGTCTTCAATGGATGCATCTCCACTCCTGTGTACCAACTGCCCTGTGGTGCGTCGAGAAAGGAATGGATATTTCGACCCGTTGCGGAGTATGTCCCCATCCGTGTCTGGAGGACTGGTTACATTTGTGGTGGGAATGCGTCATTGCAAGAGGCTTCTGGGACACTATGAACTCCTGGTGGGCTGGGGCTGACAGCTATATTGGTCTGTGGAATCAGGAGTTCATCATCACAGGGAGATTAACTCCACACATAAACAGTCATCAGATAGGAACGGTAGCCCAAATATTTAGAGCCAGGGTATTCTGGGCCCTATGGTTGGCCAGAAGGGATAGACTGTTCCTGAACTCGGATTCTTCTCTCCACTTTTAAGCATTCCATTATAACGACGGATTGGATCAGAATCAAACGCCCGTCAGTTTCCAGGGAAGTAGCCAGGGACCTCTTCCATAAGAAATGGTCCTGGCCCTTCAAGTGGGCGGGTCCGTTAGACAAAGATAAAATCTTCTATACTGAGCTCTTATGGGACAGTCCCACCTCAGGCCTAGGTTGATATTTAGCCCATCAGACAGCCTTCTGCTGAGAGGGCCTGCTCCTCTGGGCTTCATCACCTTAGATCGTGTCAATCCATTAGAACTCAGGAGCCACCTCTCCCCCCTTCTTTCCATCTCATAGGTTACCTACTTCTCTCTGGTTTCAGTGATGTCCCCAGTGCTGTCATCTTGGAAAAAACAAAAAAAACAAAAAAAAAAACCGGCGCTCGCTGCACACCCTCCTCCCCTACCAACGGGCGTATCGGAGTTGACACCCCCTCGAATTGTTGAAACCCCGAGACAAAAAGTACTCGATGTATCTGGCTGTGTTCTCGGGCAAGTTCGAACCTGCATGGGAATGGAACCAGTGCCATTCGGGCCCACTGGAACTGCGGGCGTTGGTCCAAAGGGACCGGTGCCGATGTCGCGGGAAGGACGAAAGACCCAGGCCATTGGTCTCGCTCCACTACATAACAATCTACATGCACCTGGACTCTTTGTGGACCACATACATTCCAAGTGATGAACTTCTCCGAGTGCACAATGGCGCAGAAAATGTCCAAATGCATGTAGACTGTCTGTAGTGGAGCGAATGCCCACGAGTGAGGCAGAATGATACACCCATGAAGTGCTGCTGATACAGCGGCGTTCGAATCCAGCAGATCGACTCAGGGCCTACTCACACGCCAGTAGGGTAGCGCTATCTGGCTGAAATGTACCTGACCGCATTGACGGCCGGACGTGGGTGTATCTGACCGCGAACCTGGCAATAGTTAAGTACAATACAAAAGTCGTCGTGTCAGTATGCCGCCTTAGGAGTACATGGGGCCGATCAGCTCGATGAGGATCGCCACACGACTCTCGAAATCTGCGAAATGAGAATGAACTTCCCGTTAGAACATGGCCAGATGCACCCGCCACAGTTTGGTCGTTTTCACATTTGGAGAGTGGTCTGGCGAGGCCCTACGTCAAGCGGCAGTCGGCCTTTTTGTTTTTCTTTTTCTTATATATAAATCAAAACGGAAACGACAAAAGAAGTCAGCGCAGAAAATAAAAAAGAGAGTGAATTGAATTGATAGGATTTTCCAGAACGGGAAAGGGCGCGACGGAAGTGGGAGGCGTTTTCCAGGGGCTGATGGGAGAATTGGGTAGGGGGGGGGAAGGAGAGAGCGTGATCTCTACAGTACCTGCTGGTGGGACGCCATAGCCAGGGCTTTCGAGGTGGATCTGCGTCGTCTTCTCTCTCGGCCATCGCCGTCGCCATCGCCATCGCCGTCGCCATCGTCATCGTCATCAACATCGCCATCGCCGTCGCCATCGTCATCAACATCGCCATCGCCATCGCCATCGCCGTCGCCATTGCTAGCAGAAACATCGCCATGGCTATCATAGAGATTTGATGAAGTCGTCTTCGTCGTTTTATTTTCGTTCCTCTTTTCGCCGCTCTCCAAGTTTATAGACACAATTGTCCCTTTGTTTAATTTGATTTTTTAATATTTGGATTTTTATAATTTGGTCGTTTATCTTCGTCTTCGTCTTTGCTCCTGTACTGCCCTCGCCCGTCTCTTCTCCTCTGTCCGCTTGTTCCTATGCTTTCTGGTGGGGGGAGAAAAAAAGGCAAAGGGGGAAACAACCACAATTAACCCCCCACCCAAAAAGAAGAAGCCAAAGAAAAATTTAAAAATCAGTTTTTGAGATCATCTAGGAGATTCGGCTCTCTCTCTCTCTCTCTCTCTCTCTCTCTCTCTCCCTCCCTCTCTCCCTCTCTCTCTCTCTCTCTCTCACACACACACACACACACACACACACACACACACAGACAGAGATGAATCCATAGGCGCACAGATGTGGCGGGCAGTCTGGCACGAGTTGGAAGAGGGAAAAAATAAGGATTTTTTTTTTTTCCCTTGAAAATAAGGAGTTTTTTGTGAGAATACGAACACAGTAAACACGGAGGGAAAAAAAATAAAATAAAAAGGAGGTTTTCTTTGTCGTTTTCCTTTGTGTGGATTTTATATTAGTAAAACAAAAAAACTAATTGTGATATAATTCACGTTATGTAATTTGATGCAGTTTCAAAGAACTTTCACCATTGCTTGGTGGGTGGACTCTTGATTGCCAACTGCTGATTACCATGAGGACGGAAAAAAATTCCTCGAGGCAGAAGACGACAAACGTCATCAGTGGTTGTCCCATGCGCGTCGTCGATTAAGACCTTTTTTTTTTTTTTTTTTTTTTTTTTTTTT